TAATATTTGACCTTAAATCCTATTAAATAGATGAAAATCCACAGAAATTCTCTTAAGAAATATCCAGAGAAATATTTACAGTTCTGCTACATCTTTTGTTGATCAATTGTCTGTGCAAACATGAGAAGAGAGTTCATCTTGTTACTATATTGACAGAATATAAAGGTGAAAGTTGATTAACTTACAGGAATAGAGTCACATTTCAGGTCCACAAATGAGAGGGCGGGGGTGGAAGGAGGAGAGAAACCTTGAAAGGCATTTGACAGGGGAAGGTTGTATTCCCCAGATAGCCCTGTCAAGCAGCTCTGTCGACAACAAAAAGAAGAAAACAAATAAATTGGAGGCTGTGTGAATGTCACAAGACCAGAATATAAACACGTATGACATGGGGAGAAGTAAATACCAATAATTCACGTTCTCACAAAATGTTTTCGAGTGGGATCTTCTAGCTATGCCGGAATGAAAAGGAAAAAAAAAAATGATGTCTAGGTAAATCTCCAAGACACTGGTCCGGCACTCACCTTTTATTCATAATGCCAACCCTTAAAAAGCACCACTGCAGGTACAATAGGGCCAAATAACAAAAACAGAAACAGTGTGTGACAGGACTCAGGACTCATCCATCTAGAAATGGATCTAACATTCAGAGAACATTTCATCTCTGTTTAACTTTCTAACCCACAAGAGAGAATGCAGCCTTCACTCTAAGCAGACAAAGAATATCTTTAGACAGAAGGTGGAATTTAGCACTTCGGTTTTCTCTTTACACTAAAGAGAAAACGAATTGTAGACACGTGCATCCAAAAATTGATTTAAGATGATAGTAGTTGTCTTTTGTTCCCATTGAAAAAAAACTCATTCCAAGCTTTTCTTATTAGCATAATTCTCCATCTGTACATGAACTGACTGGACAAGTTCTTAAAGCCTCGCTGCCCTCTCTACACTACTTTCCCTGATGCTACCCCACTCTTATTTGGCTTTGTGCTCAGTGACACCACCTGTCCACCCCAGGCCTGGGTGTCTGGTCCAATGAGTGCCTTATTGAAAACCTTACATAACTGCTTTTTTCCTGTTCCATGAGGCTCACCTCACCAAATCTAATGGAAGCTCTGGCCCAGAATCCAGGAATGTTGTTCCAGATAGACCTGGCGGGTCTCTCATTAACATGAGCTCCTCCTCCCTGCCTGGGAAGTCAGAACACCCTGTCTTCCTGGAGCGTCCATGTCCTGCCAGCTCAGGAAACAAGACCCTTAGTCTGGCGTGAGAAATCTGATTACCTCCCCATGGCCACAAAGCTTTCAGTTTTAAGTTTCGATAAATGCTACTCTTCTAAAAGGTGCTGAACACCAATAAACCCTCTGATACAGAAGTATTGTTCTAACGTGCAGATCTGTAAGAAAAAGAAGCCCCCCCCTCCTGGAACCCACTGAGCCCTAGCAGAAGGCTAAGAAATTAAAATGTGTTGAGTTTATCCAGGTTCCATAGCAAATGTGCTATACAAAGATCTCAAAGTGAAATCCAAAAATCCAAGAGGGTAATCAGTTTCATAATATTTAGACATGTTATGAAATAAAACCAAGATTATAAGAAGTATATTTAAGATGCTTTCTGTTCAAAAGAGTCAAAAATTCTGCATAATTGGGTAACTTGGCTCTTTTCTGTTTTCACTAGACTCTTTCTGGATGGTCTAGCATTTCTAATGGCTTCAATTACTTCACATATGCTGATGACTAACAAGTGTTTATCTGCAGCTCAGACCTCCTTCCTGAGCTCTAGGCCCCTGCAGTGAGCTTTGAATCCATGTGGGCATCTTCGTTTTCCACTCCCATTCTGCTCTTCCTCTTGTATCTTGTGTCTCCTTAAATATCAACACCATCCACCTGTCAGCTCAAGTCAGGTGGCTGAGCACCTTCCTGACCCCTCCGACCCCAGCAGCCTTCACGTCTTTATTTAGGGCCCAAGGATTCTGCCTCCCTCATGTCACTCAAACACACCCACTCTCTCTCCCCACTGCTAGCTGAGCTCAGGCACTCATCATTTCTCCATAGATGCACAAAGGCCTCCTAGCCGGTCTTCCCTTCCCAGTGCATTCTTCACAGCCTGAAGGACCATTCTCAAGGGCAAAGTAGATCATACCATCCCTCCGCTTCAAACGCCCTAGAAGGAAACAAAAGTCCTTTGTGACCTACCTCCTGGCCATCTCTATAAGCACTTCTTGTGCCTTCTCTTATCCTCTGCACTGGAGCTATGGGAGTCCTCAATGTTTACTCTGCACTTCTGCATGCCTTTGCACCTACTGGTACTTTCTTGACCCTTCCTCACATCCATCTCCTAACTAGTTTCTGCTTATCCTTCCAAATCCATCTCCCTTCAGGAAGTTTCCCCCAGTTGCCTTTGGGTTAATCACCCCTCCTGTGTATTATGGAAGATGAAGTCCTAGTACTTAGATCGTATTCTAACTTCACTGTGCTCTCTTTCCCACTGGACTGAGAGAGAGAGCTCCTTGAAGGCTGAGACTCTATCTTTTCACCTCTCAGTTCCCAGAGCTGTGCAAAGGGTCTGGCTAGTGTATGTCCTCAAAAGAGTTCTGTCAGTTGACCATGAGAAATGCCCTAGAATGAGGTCATATGTTCCTGGGCACCTTCTTGCTGGAAACTGGCCTAATGAAAGCTACGAAGGAGTAGATACTACTAACGTGGGAAAATTTGTTCAAGCAAGGCACAGAAGCAGATTTTTAAGATGCGGGTCCAGTTAGGCCTGATTGTTGGATTGTGTCTCTCATAAAGACAAAGAGAGGAGTCTTGGCAAGTGCCAGCTTCGCAAGAGCCTCTAGGGACAAAGATAGCCACGTGGGAGAGAGCCCAACCCTGTGCATGCACCTGCAAACAAACACTAACAAGGGCGTATAGGCACGTGCTTCAGGATTTAACAATCCTCACAGAAGCAAGTTGAGGAGCCTCCATCTGGTTTGTTGCCAATGAACAAAAAAGGAGGTCTTTCTTCCATTGTTTCAGTTGTGTAAATTCTTAGTGTGACAATACATAGTAAGTCCCTACAGGTCTTATCAAACTTCTACCTAACTTTTAAAAATGAACTTTGAGAAAGAAGTTCATCCCTGACTTGGAAATGTCAGTCATGTTGTGGTCTACACAAATAACTTCAGTATCATTACTCTGCATCTGCCGGTCCTCTGCTGAAAAGTTGCCTCCCTGGGTCCTACCTGCTTTGTTTTCTACCCAGATCTCTCCAGCCTGTGCCATGCTCCTGTATTTTAATGCTATATCCCTGTGCTGGGAATGTTACTTACTATTAATTTATCAGCCAGTCCAAATGATGGAAGAGCCGGCACTAAAGGAAGGTCTGGCTTTTGGCATCACAGCCCAGTAGAAACCTGAACAGCGCTCAATTTGAGAACCCACGGGGGCACAAGCAAGTTACTGATTATGTAAACAAGGAGAGACTAGGATAGAGGCATTACCCTAAAATGCTATGTTGATGTTGTAAGTAAACAGTTCTGCTACCCTGTGGTGTAAAGCTAGCCCTAGGGGTAGAAATTATTACCAAACCAGTCATTTAATGGCTTACTAGGTGACACTCAGCTACCCTTCAAACATCCGTCTCTAGGAAAACCGTGCTTAGCAGAAGATGCGATTCTGTTGCTTAGGGTTTCTATCCTAAAGTACAACTTAGCAACATTTTAATGTTTCCAAAATTAAGTGTGAACAGATATACTTTGATTAGAAACTCTAAATCACATTTGCAAAACTTCAGGGCACTAAAAAAGAAAATCTGGTTTGACAAAGCAGTCGAGTATCTTTTGTCTCAAAGTTGTCATTCCTCTTCCCAGCGTCCTCTCAGCCAGACACGTCCCTTTCTTTCCTTCATGGACACTCAGACACGTGGGGATCACTTACTGTTTCTCCCTTGCCAGTGTCCTCCTATCAGCATGCAATAGCCAAGACATACAGATTCTGCTAGGACCACACCTTTCCTCTCTGCCTCTTTCCCTGACTTTGTGTCATCTCAGCTCCGGCCCACCTGATATATTAATTCTGCTTAGATTAGTAAAATAATAATCCTGATGTGGGTTGGATGCCAACCCACCCAACACCACTGCTCATTTTCCTGAAACGTGATGCCTTGAATCATGTCATTTGTCTGATTAAAAATTTTCACGGGAGTCCCACTGCTTATGAAATCAATCCTGTATCCCTAGATTTTTAACTTACCTTTCTGCTCTATGTCTTGTTATTTCGACTGCGGGTGTATGTTTACTACTCTCCCCCCACAATTGTGCCATCCTACCTCTGTGCTATTGCTTGTGCTATTTCACCCAAACCACCTGGTTTGAGTGCTGGTTTCATTATTTACTAGCTTTGTGCTTCTGTTTCCTCATTTATAACATGAGGATCATAACAGCACCTGCTTCATGGGGTTTTGTGATGATTGCAGAGGAAATCCATACAAAGCCCTTAGAAGATGGCCAGCACAAAGTAAGTAGTCAGTAAATGTTAGCGATCATCATTATTATTATCATCATCCTTTTCAAGGACCATTTCAAATCCACGTCTTTAGTGAAGTCTTTTTAAATTGCCCAACTCAATGTTGTTTTTTTCCCTCTTTTTGTACTTCTCTGAATAGCATTTGACATGTAATGCCCTGCCTTAGAATAGCATGTCCACTTATCTTGGCCTAGACTGGACCGTACACTTATTGAGGCTGAGGAGGTTTTATTCATCATTGTACACGTGAAAGGACCTTGCATAGCACCTGGCACATCAAAAGGACTTAATAAATACTGGCTAAATTGAAACAAATTGATTTTACTATTTTAAAAAACTCTGTTCCTCGAGCCGAGAGAAAAATAACACATAAAGATAAGTAAATGAAATGAGCACCTGGATAACAAGGATGTTATTGGTGAAGGACACTGAGATTGATGTCATTAGAATGCACGACTTGCCCTGATAACATCCTTCCGTCCATGTTCTCCATTGCAGGTCTGCCTAGTGGCGTATCTTGGTTTGTTTATGCTTTGTGTCTCATATCAAGTTGATGAACGGACATGTATCCAGTTTGTTATGAAAGTAAGTTGTTATTTTTTTCTCTTTTATCGTCACATGGGGGAAAACACAAGTATAAAATAAAAGAATGATTTTTACAGGGTTGCATATCAGATTATACTAGAAGTTGCATTTTTAGGCAGGCCAAAAAAATGTTTTAGGAGGGCATTCATCCAGACCCCAAAGGTAATGCTGGTCTTTTTTTTAAAGTCTTAATTTCCATGCACTAAGTTGGCATAGATCACATAAAGTCTGTCCTTCAATGCCCTTACAAAGAATTTTGGAAATTCATCAGTTCAGCAAAAGACTTGGCCAGGGAAAAGGTGTCTCTATTACTGTCCACTTCCATATCTTGGGGTTTTTTAGAATATTTTAATAGGGAAGCAGTCTAAGTGTATTTCCTCTTGTAGGTGGGATCACTGAGACAAAAAAAGTACATTGGGTGCATCCAAATGATCTGTGCCAAGAGCCTGAGGGTATTGGGTGGGGGGGAGGTAGGTGGGTAGGATATGCATGGTTTAAGGTGTGTGTGTGTGTGTGTGTGTGTGTGTGTGTGTCTTTCACGTGCATGTGATTTTTTTCTCCATTAAAGACAGTGCATTCAGTTGGAGCCCATTCAAGTACACAGCATTTTCACTGCACAGTAGAATCTAGTCCAAAGGGAAACATAGACACACCCTTTTAGAGTTCAGGGAGATAAAAACCCAACCCAGCAATCAGAGCTAGGAGAAATCAAATTCCTACATTTTCTTTCAACCACTTGTAGCAGACAACAAAATGTTTTCTGTAATATTCATTTGTTGGGTATTTTTTTTTTTTTGGTCCACTCACACTGTTTACTTTTTCTTCATAACCAAGCACATACTTCTTTGTTCACAAGAAAGCATAATGCATAAGAGTAAGTCAATTCTATTATTTAGAAATTACAAAGAGGCAGAAAAGATGTTTTTTATTCTAGTATGGTTGAAGTGGTTGACATAAAAAAGCAAAGTGCTTATATTATATGTATATATATTTAAATCATGTTGTAAAAGGGTAATAATGGAATAAATTATTAACTAGTCAAAAAAAAAGCTGGCTACACAAAATCTATGGTGTGATCCTACAGAAATAAAAAAAAAATAGCTCTCAGTGCATAGAAAAAATGGTTATCTGTGAGTAGTGGGAGGATAGCTGCATTTTGTAGTTTCTTCTTTAATTCTGAAATGTTCTCCAATAGTTAGACATAACTTTTCTAATTAAAAACATAATGGGGGTATCTGGGTGGCTCAGTCGGTTAAGTGCCCAACTTCCGCTCAGGTCATGATCTCACAGTTGGTGAGTTCAAGCCCCACATCAGGCTCTGTGCTGATAGTGCAGAGCCTGCTTGGAATTCTCTCTCCCTCTTTTTCTGCCCCTCCCCTGCTCTGTCTCTCTCTCAAAAAATAAATAAGTAAACTTAAAAAAAATAATGGATTCTTTAAAAAAAAAAAAAACCCGACAGAATTTGGTGGATATACCTACATTTGGAAATTTTAATTTTTCTGTCTGAGGGTGTTCCTTAAAGAAGGCCAGAGAGAGCAGACATCAGTCCATGTTTACTGTTTTTGTAGAGGTCTCACTAAACACAATAAGGCTTAGTGATGAATTAAAAAAAACAAAACAAAAAAAACCCTGGAAGCCTAATAAGAAATGGCCTGTTAAATTACAGGGACCTCTTTCACTAGGTAAAAAGTGCTCTACACTAGGTTCATCAGCTTATGTGAAATGCCCTCGTTTCCCCTCCAGATGACCCAGCAGAGGCCCCCAAAGCCACCTCAACATCTGCACTTGAAATAAGGAGCAAGGGCAAAAGTAAAATAAAAAAGTCACTGCCAATGTCAGCCAGGTTGAGAATTCCCCACTAGGAAGATCTCATTAGCCACCTTTTTTTTTTTTTCCACCTGTGACAGACATTGACAAATACGGAGGCACTTTTCTCTTCTCCTGAATGTGACCTTTAGTGATGCTTGCTGCCAGCTCTCTAAGGTGCCCGCTACATTATCTTCAGGTCTAAAATGAGCTTCAGTCAATCTCCAGGTTTTCCAAAGGCACAACAGGTTACAGCAGACTTTCCTTGTGTTTCCACACCATTGGATGGGGGTTGGGGGGGAGGAACGAAATGGATCTTCATGATGTGTTTCTCACTTAGCCTTACCGCATTTTAGTGCCTGCGTATGGATACCCTGGCCTAAGCTTTGTTGAAGATTTTTTCTCTCCTGTTGGAAGACCCAGATGGCCAGGGCAACCAGTCAGGGGGTGCTAACTGCGTCTCTCTGCAGCCTGAGCACGCGCGCGCGCGCGCGCGCGCGCACACACACACACCCTCCCTTTTTCTTGGAGACAATAGTCACGGGACTTGTCTTTTCATCTGAGGCTAGTGCAGTCCGCTCTCTGGCAGGCCCGCGACACCACCGGCGCATTCTTTCTTTCTCCCGGGGCTCTGCCCGCGGCCTTGGCGGGCCATTCGGCCTCCGATTGGGCCGCCTGCCTTTCCCCGTGGCCCTGTTTTCTCGGGGCTCACCTTGGTTATTTGCAGAAACGTGTCCGGTTCATGTGCTTGCAAACACTCCCGGGCACATTCCCCAGGAGGGCATTTAAGGCGCACTCGCCTCGTGCCCACAGCCAGGAGGCCCCTGGGCTGCTGCTGCCGCCCCCTCCTGCGCGGCGAGCGGCAGCCGGGCCTCACCACCCCTGCCACCCGGGAAGGTAATTAAATCGAAGCCGAACCGCCCTCCTTCCAAAGTCACCGAGCGTTGAAGCCGCAGCCGGGTACCAATTAGAGGCAGCGAGCGAGCGGAGCCGCGCCTGGGCGCCGCTGTTACATAAGCTCCGGGGGCCTCGGCGCCCCCGCCCGCTGCCGAGCTCCAGACACACGGGCTGACACCGGCAAGACAAATGCGTCCCGAGCCAGGCTTTTATCAAGATATATTTGCTCGCATTCCCAAGGTCATCGTAAACACTTTCATTGATAGTTTATTCGTGCCGCGTAGGTAAAACAAGCCACTTGATTTTAAATTACAGATTCTAACCCAGAAGCTTGTTGCTGTCAGATGGATTAAAAGCCCGTGAAGGGGGGGAGGGGGAGCGGTTGGGGAAATGCTACAGCGTTGCAGATGTAGCCCGCAGGCCTGGGGGATCAAGTATACATTTATGTCTTAGCATGGATAAGAAATTTGATTCTGTGGTTCACTCCTGTTTACTTGGCCTGATGCTTTCACAGAGTGGTAGATGCAGGATCACAATGTGTGAGCTATGCACCAGTGAAAGTATTCATATTCAAGGAGCTAAGGGGCAAGGCTTTTGTTTGGGCTCCCAGAATATTTAAGTTGCTCGCTTAAAATTGAGCAATCCCTGTGTCTGTGTAAATGTTTACATCTTTTCTACAAGCCAAGCCTGCATTGTTACTCCCACATGACAGAGAATAAGACAAAGCCCGTAAAGTTGATATCCTAAGAGTCTTGAGAACTGGCAGCTCTTTCCATCTCTAGTAATTTGTTTATTGATTTCACAAATACTTAAACAGTGCTGCTATGTACTTGAGGCAGCTCTAAGCCCTTTACAGATATCAACTCTTTTGATCCTTATAATAAGCCTATGACCATAGGGCTATTATGATCATCATTCCAAGTTTAAAGGTGAAGTAACATAGGTGTGCAGGGGAATGATTAATTTGCTCCAGGCCCACAGCTAAGAAGGGGAGAATCAGGCTTGAAAGCGGGCAGTCTGGCTCCCCTATTTATGCTCATAACCATCACTCGGCTTGTACACTTGTTAAATGTCTTGAGTAAATCTTCCAATATCTAAGCCAAAAGGAGATCTTTTAAAAATAGGCAAAATTTTGGGGTACCTGGGTGGCTCAGTTGATTGGCTTGGATTAAGCCCTTTGACTTCGGCTCAGGTCATGGTCTCATAGTTCCTGGGTTCAAGCCTCACTTCCAGCTCTGTGCTGACAGCTCAGAGCGTGGAGCCTGCTTTGGATTGTGTCTCCCTCTCTCTCTGCGTCTTCTCTGCGTGTGCTCTTTCTTTCTCTCTCAAAAACAGAATAAACATTTTTAAAAAAACAGGCAAAATTCTCATTTCAGCAAATGGGTTTTCGTGATTGTGTGAGAGAATAGTATTTTTGCAGCCATTCGAATTATTTACAGACTGAAGGAGGGATTATTGTCATTGCCTCAAGATAGTGTCCCAATGAATGTTATAGAAATCTGCTAAGGATGTGTGTGTGTGTTGGAGGTGGGAGGGTTATTACAAGACTTCCTCAGTTCCAGCCATTGATGGCAATAAAATGTGCAGAGAAAACTCCAATTGGGGCCATTCTGCTAAGCAGATGACTCTCAGGTGGGAAATTACCCCTTTAATTTGGGCCTTCCCTCCTGGTAAAGTCACCAATATACCCATGTTCCCAAAGCAAATAGCTCCCAGGTCCATGCTGCCTGCACTGGAAACACAGTTACAGTGGGTACACATGTACAACACCACCAGCACGATTTAATTTGGCTCTTGGTATCAGGAGTTTGAGGTCAATCATCAGGCCTGAATATTTCATAACAACCCAGAATATTTCAAATATTCGGCTCCAATGTTCCCACAAAAATAAAAACTCCTACATTTTAGCCTAAGCACTATAGTTTTTGCAGGAAATATGGCCACAAAAATTTAGGTGATGTGTTCAATTTCACAAATTAAATATTTCCTTTTTAAATGTTTTAATGGTGCCCCTTGTATTTATCTGCTTCCCTTCCTCCAAGGGAGGACTAAACACATTGAATAGAAGTTATCCTTGTTGGAGCGCTTGGGTGGCTCAGTCAGTTAAACGTCTGACTTTGACTCAGGTCATGATCCCTCAGTTCATGGGTTTGAGCCCCACTACATCAGGCTCTGTGCTGAGAGCTCAGAGCCTGGAGCCTGCTTTGGATTCTGTGTCTCCTTCTTTCTGCCCCTCACCCCCCTCATGCGCTCTCTCTCTCTTTCTCTCTCTCAAGAATAAATAAACATTAAAAAAAAAACCCTGAAAATTACAATAAAAAAAAGTTATCCTTGTTATGTCCCTGAGATATAAGATGTTTCAATAAACTGTTTCATGGATGAAAAAACTTGAGTTCCATCTGGCAATTCTTCAAGAGATTTGAAAAAGATTAGTGTGTGTGTGTATGATATCTTTTTTTTTTCAACTTTTTTTTTTTTTTTGGGACAGAGAGAGACAGAGCATGAACGGGGGAGGGGCAGAGAGAGAGGGAGACACAGAATCGGAAACAGGCTCCAGGCTCTGAGCCATCAGCCCAGAGCCCGACGCGGGGCTCGAACCCACGGACCGCGAGATCGTGACCTGGCTGAAGTCGGACGCTCAACCGACTGCGCCACCCAGGCGCCCCGAGTGTATGATATCTTTGATGAGGACATGCAAAGAATCCATGCACTCCTTGGCTTTGCAGCCATGTTAAGACAAAGTGGCTTTAACCAGTTCCACTCTCTTCCTGTGCCCTTAGTCAAGCTTTCAAGCAAACTAGACACATGGATAGGGCACCAGCACACACACGCACACACACACACACACACCACATTCAAGAAGAAAAAAATACATTTTTAAGTATTCTATATTTAAGACTTGAAAACACTTGAAATTGTCACCATGTGGAGAATAACTCATTTGGAGGACTTTTGTACACATATTTTATAATCTTGGCTATATGTTTTTATTTTAAACTACATATCATTGGAAGTAGAGAGAGTGCATAATCTTTTCAGAGCTGCTTTAATCTAGTCCTGGACATGAGTAGAACTAATCTTACTTTGGGGAGTTCACATTCATGAGAACTGCCCTACAAACAACATTGGACTATGGTAATGTACATCTCACATTAGGAACTTAGTTCAGTACACTAGTCCCGACAGTTGGGGACTCTGTTCCTCATCTAGAGCCTCAGTAGGTGGGACCAGAAACATTTCCAGTAGGTGAGTACAATCCCAAGAACATTTCTTGTCATATAACATGGTTTATATTGTGACTGTGTCAACAAGCACTCACAATTTTTGATCAACATATTTCAGGTGTAGGCTAAATGTCTTGTTCGGGGATTCCATGGTTCTTTAGCAGCAGAGTTGGAACTTGAACCAGACTTTTCCATCACAAGGCTATCACACAGGCCAACGTGTTCAGAGCCTTGGCAGCTGAGGAGCCATTTAGAGTTAATTTTTGTACTCAGGAACTAGATGGTTAGAGGTGGACTTGGGTTGACACTTGTAGGTGAGGAAGCTGACCTCAAGTCGTCTACCTTCTGGAACCATAATTTTTTTTTCTAGCAACCTCTTACTGGGGCTCCTGGCATTTCTGGACACAGGTTGGCAACCACTATATTGACCACGGTCATTTTTATTAACCTGTGTTGCTAGTTGATCGATCACTGCCAATTTTGGCCAATACAGTGTTTTCATTGCCTTCTAGCCTTTCACTTATCTTCTAGCCTTTCTGCAATCTTCATATGAGCAGCTTTTGAGGTCAAAACAATCATGGCATGTCTTTCAGGGACGGCTCTCATGTTTGGGATTCATCTAAAGTTTGCTACATCCATATACAAGTATCCACCATCAAGCTAATATTATTGGCTTGGTGTATGCAAAGCACCCCGCATCCACATGGCAAATAACAATACGATCAGGGCTTACGGATTGCTTCACTAACAAATCGACATGGAACCATTCCTATGTCACGAGTACTCCTGAAAAGACAACAGCCCCATCCTTCAGGGAACTTCCTGCCAGAGAAGAAAAAGACCAGCTTTTATTAATGAGTTTTGTCAATAGTCACCCACTGTGCTTTGTAACTGGCAAGGTTTTCTTCTGCTTTCTTGCAGCTCTTGTACTTTCTGCTGAGTGCCCTGGGCTTGATGGTCTGCGTGCTGGCCGTGGCCTTCGCTGCCCACCACTATTCGCAGCTCACACAGTTTACCTGTGGAACAGCACTCGACGCCTGTCAGTGCAAACTGCCCTCCTTGGAGCCGCTCAGCAGGACCTTTGTGTACAGGGATGTGACTGACTGTACCAGCATCACCGGCACGTTCAAACTGTTCTTACTCATCCAAATGATTCTTAACTTGGTCTGCAGCCTTGTGTGCTTGGTGGCCTGTTTTGTCATGTGGAAACACAGGTACCAGGTCTTTTACGTGGGTGTCCGAATGTGCTCCCTGACAGCTTCCGAAGGCCAGCAGCAAAAGGTCTAACATACTCGCTCAAAGGTGGGAGAGAAAACAGCACACTGACTAGCTGGGGTCAAAAAAGGAAAAGGAAAAAGAGAAAGAAGAGGAAGAAAGGAAGAAAAAAAAAACTTTTGACAATAACTAATATTCCCTGTTGTAAATGAATATTTTTCTATTTTTCAGGAAATAAGAGCATTTCTTCAGGTTTCTAGAGTATTTTTAAAAATTCTTACAGGGAAAATAAGATCCAAATTGACTTTAAGACATTAAAAGAACACTGAATGGGGAAGGAATGGCATACATTTATTTTTGCAGGTTGGAGTTCATTTCTTAGTACAGATTACCCCCACCCCCGCTTTCTGAACATAGAGCATTCCCATGAAAACTTCCGTGAACCGAAATGGCGTAAAGCGAAGGCACTGTTCTGTAGAAGCAGAAATCTTCAGATTTCTTTCGGTTGGCGAAAATGGGTGCTAATGTAGATATTTCCTAAAGCAAAACGGCGTAGAGCAAACTTTCGGATAGCGGGGAAAACCTGTACTCATTTTGTTCATTATTTATATAATCCTCTTTCCTGTTCAGTTTATAGTGTGCATTGGCATTTCAGGACCACTTGCTAAATTTTGCAGTCGTTTCCAGAACTTCCCACCTCCCCCCATTCCTTTCACTATGCCTTGGAGAAAGCGGGGAGAGCTGAGCAACTAGGTTGACTCTCTGGATTTTCCCTGGTAGAGATGTCTTCAAGACATGAAACAGCTTCAAGGGTCAGAGTAGAAAAGGAAGAGACTTTACAAAGGCTAAATAATTATCAGCACCTGGGCTGGGGTGGAGGCCTTTTCTCTTCAGCTCCCTTAGTTTGGCTCTGTAAGTAGATCACTTACTAAATACTTTGGATGATTGTCTGCTTCTCAATAATTGAAAGTTGGTGGTAGTTGTATTCTTAATGATGTAGAAGGCTTAAAAATAATTACATTATGCTTCTATTCTACCATCTAAAACAAATCATTAAAACTAATTTCTACCTAATTGTTAATTATAATTATGCTCAGAAGCCTACTTAATGAGCCCTGTCTGTACTTATGTAGCACCATCGGCATTAGGAGAAATTACTCTCACAAGAGAGGAGGCTTAAAGATTCTTTCTTCTGAAAGCCAAGCTTTACAAAGGAGAAGAAAAAAAAATTTTATTAATAGCTCAGGTTAAAAATACTCATTTAAACAAAAACAAGAGCATTTGTAATGGGAAATGTTTATACAAATAGCACATTTGTGATACGTTATAAAGTATCTCTCTTGGCAGCTAAGTACTTTTGAGGAAGACTGGGTAATGCCGAAGTGTTCCATTCACAAAAGTGCATCTGATATGCAATCCTATTATTGATCTTTATATCCAGTCAACCTAGAGACTTAAACTAATGTCTTGATGTCCTTATTTGAGTATATGCCCATTGACTTGGAAGGTAATTTTTATTTTGTTTTGTTTTTAAGTTACTGTGACTTAAAAAAGCACAGGCACGCTGGGGTGGGAGTCTTTTCTCTCTTACTTGGTTCTGAACAATACCAATATTTTAAGGAAGGAGCTCAGAATGCAAATGCATGCAGCATTAATGTTATCAAGATCTTTCTCTCTTAGCATGCTCTATTGAAATCAGAAATTCAAGATAATAATTGAGATGAATTTGCCTCTCCACATTGCCTGTTGATATACTCTGCTAGTCATGAAATTCTACCCTAAAAGAAAATCATTTTCTTGTTTGCCTTAGAAAATAGTTGAACAATTCCATTGGTTGTGACGACAGTGTCAATTTCTACACAATATAAATATCCAAATAAAAGGGAAAACATTAAGTCAGTTAGTTGGAGAATTGTAAAAAGCTTTTATGTCCTCCAGATAAAACACCTGATTAACAGATGTTAAAACCTTTTTTTTTTTAATGTATTGACTTGCTTAAAAAATGGCCTTCCTACACACCAGCTCAGGCCAAGAACTCACATTTAGTGGATAAGACTCTGGAGCAGAGGTTGGATTACATGCAAAAACTATATCGAGAGAACACCAAGCATCCAGATGATGACCTAAAAAAAAAAAAAAA